ATTGGCCCGGCTCAACGCTGTGATGTCAGGCAAGCTATGGACAGTCGGACTCCCTCTCATGCGTGATACGGTGCCACTGAGGCGAGCCTTCAATTTACTTCCATGCGGACACACCACCTCCATTCCACGCACACTCCATGCACACTCCATGCACACTAGCTCGTGCACTACAGTGTGCGAGCCCACCTTCTCGCTGTTGAGCCAGCGCACAAACTCCAGCAGCCCACCCGCAAAGTGGAAGTCCGCGGACCGCCCCCCCTCCTCCTTGAGGTGAATCACCACCTGTGGCGGGGAGCATGGGGGAGAAGAGGGATGGCAGGACGGTGTGTGAGGAGGAACAAGGGGGAATGCCGGCACAGCCACAGTGCAACGTGGGAGCCCGCTGACCGCCCCCCCTCCTCCTGCAGCTGAATCACCACCTGTGGCAGAGGACGTGGGGGGAGGAGGGTGACAGGAAGGGGTGGGGAAGGAGGTGGATGTACGGGAGAGGAGCATGCAAGCAATGCCAAACTGCAAGCAATGCCAAACTGCAAGCAATGCCAAACTGCAAGCAATGCCAAACTGCAAGCAATGCCAAACTGCAAGCAATGCCAAACTGCAAGCAATGCCAAACTGCAAGCAATGCCAAACTGCAAGCAATGCCAAACTGCAAGCAATGCCAAACTGCAAGCAATGCCAAACTGCAAGCAATGCCAAACTGCCAAACTGCAAGCAATGCCAAACTGCCAAACTGCAAGCAATGCCAAACTGCAAGCAATGCCAAACTGCAAGCAATGCCAAACTGCAAGCAATGCCAAACTGCAAGCAATGCCCAACTGCAAGCAATGCCCAACTGCAAGCAATGCCCAACTGCAAGCAATGCCCAACTGCAAGCAATGCCCAACTGCAAGCAATGCCCAACTGCAAGCAATGCCCAACTGCAAGCAATGCCCAACTGCAAGCAATGCCCAACTGCAAGCAATGCCCAACTGCAAGCAATGCCCAACTGCAAGCAATGCCCAACTGCAAGCAATGCCCAACTGCAAGCAATGCCCAACTGCAAGCAATGCCAAACTGCAAGCAATGCCCAACTGCAAGCAATGCCCAACTGCAAGCAATGCCCAACTGCAAGCAATGCCCAACTGCAAGCAATGCCAAACTGCAAGCAATGCCAAACTGCAAGCAATGCCAAACTGCAAGCAATGCCAAACTGCAAGCAATGCCAAACTGCAAGCAATGCCAAACTGCAAGCAATGCCAAACTGCAAGCAATGCCAAACTGCAAGCAATGCCCAACTGCAAGCAATGCCCAACTGCAAGCAATGCCCAACTGCAAGCAATGCCCAACTGCAAGCAATGCCCAACTGCAAGCAATGCCCAACTGCAAGCAATGCCCAACTGCAAGCAATGCCCAACTGCAAGCAATGCCCAACTGCAAGCAATGCCCAACTGCAAGCAATGCCAAACTGCAAGCAATGCCAAACTGCAAGCAATGCCAAACTGCAAGCAATGCCAAACTGCAAGCAATGCCAAACTGCAAGCAATGCCAACTGCAAGCAATGCCAAACTGCAAGCAATGCCAAACTGCAAGCAATGCCAAACTGCAAGCAATGCCAAACTGCAAGCAATGCCAAACTGCAAGCAATGCCAAACTGCAAGCAATGCCAAACTGCAAGCAATGCCCAACTGCAAGCAATGCCCAACTGCAAGCAATGCCCAACTGCAAGCAATGCCAAACTGCAAGCAATGCCAAACTGCAAGCAATGCCAAACTGCAAGCAATGCCAAACTGCAAGCAATGCCAAACTGCAAGCAATGCCAAACTGCAAGCAATGCCAAACTGCAAGCAATGCCAAACTGCAAGCAATGCCAAACTGCAAGCAATGCCCAACTGCAAGCAATGCCCAACTGCAAGCAATGCCCAACTGCAAGCAATGCCCAACTGCAAGCAATGCCCAACTGCAAGCAATGCCCAACTGCAAGCAATGCCCAACTGCAAGCAATGCCCAACTGCAAGCAATGCCCAACTGCAAGCAATGCCCAACTGCAAGCAATGCCCAACTGCAAGCAATGCCAAACTGCAAGCAATGCCAAACTGCAAGCAATGCCCAACTGCAAGCAATGCCCAACTGCAAGCAATGCCCAACTGCAAGCAATGCCAAACTGCAAGCAATGCCAAACTGCAAGCAATGCCAAACTGCAAGCAATGCCAAACTGCAAGCAATGCCAAACTGCAAGCAATGCCCAACTGCAAGCAATGCCCAACTGCAAGCAATGCCCAACTGCAAGCAATGCCCAACTGCAAGCAATGCCCAACTGCAAGCAATGCCCAACTGCAAGCAATGCCCAACTGCAAGCAATGCCCAACTGCAAGCAATGCCCAACTGCAAGCAATGCCCAACTGCAAGCAATGCCCAACTGCAAGCAATGCCCAACTGCAAGCAATGCCCAACTGCAAGCAATGCCCAACTGCAAGCAATGCCCAACTGCAAGCAATGCCCAACTGCAAGCAATGCCCAACTGCAAGCAATGCCAAACTGCAAGCAATGCCAAACTGCAAGCAATGCCCAACTGCAAGCAATGCCCAACTGCAAGCAATGCCCAACTGCAAGCAATGCCAAACTGCAAGCAATGCCAAACTGCAAGCAATGCCAAACTGCAAGCAATGCCCAACTGCAAGCAATGCCCAACTGCAAGCAATGCCAAACTGCAGAGTGGAAGGTCACTCATGGCGTTGCTGCAACCTTAACCACACTGCAGCATGGCACGGCCTGACTCAAACTCGCACGTGTGACACATGTAGTGAATGGTCAGTGGATTCACCATCACTCACGCACCGACTGCACTAGCGCTCATATGCATAGGTGGTGAGGGGCCTGGCTGGATCCACTGGACTGTGGGCTCACCAGTTAGCATGGGGCAGGGCAAAACTGTGCGCTCCATGTGAGACGGTTTGCAGGTGCGTGTGGGGCTTGCATAGGACAGACAGAGGAGAGGCAGACAAGGCCCAAGGGGCAGAGAGGGGCAGACGGGGCAGAAAACAAGGACGAAGGGGCAGAGTGGGGCAGAGGGGGAAGAAGGGTGGGCGTGCCTGGGGGTTGAGGAAGGCGAGCTCTCTGAGGCGCGCCGCGATGGTGGTGAAGTCCAAGGCCGTGGTGGTGGTGAAGACTGCCAGGAAAGGAGAGGAGGGGACGAGGGGACATGGGACGGGGAATAAGGGTGGGGGTGAGAGCGGGGGATGTCACTGGCAACGATGGTGGTGACCTCCAGCGCCATGGTGGTGGTGAAGACTGGAAGCAGAGGAGAGGAGAGGGGGGGACGAGGGGGCCACGGGGCATGGAGATTAGGTTGGGAGTGAGAGCGGGGGATGTCACTGGCAACGATGGTGGTGACGTGTTTGCATAGGCATTGAGTGCCGTGTGGTGGTGTGGTGGTGTGGTGGTGACAGCTGGGCGAGGCAAGGGACGCGAGGAAAGTGAAAGGTGGAGATGGTGATCCAATGCGGAATGCACTGGAGCAAGGGCGCGAGGGCAAGACGAAGAGTGTGGTGGACGTGTGGAGGGGTTCAGTGGTGAAGGCGGAGGAGATGGTGAAGGCGGAGGAGATGGTGAAGGCGGAGGAGATGGTGAAGGCGGAGGAGATGGTGAAGGCGGAGGAGATGGTGAAGGCGGAGGAGATGGTGAAGGCGGAGGAGATGGTGAAGGCGGAGGAGATGGTGAAGGCGGAGGAGATGGTGAAGGCGGAGGAGATGGTGAAGGCGGAGGAGATGGTGAAGGCGGAGGAGATGGTGAAGGCGGAGGAGATGGTGAAGGCGGAGGAGATGGTGAAGGCGGAGGAGATGGTGAAGGCGGAGGAGATGGTGAAGGCGGAGGAGATGGTGAAGGCGGAGGAGATGGTGAAGGCGGAGGAGATGGTGAAGGCGGAGGAGATGGTGAAGGCGGAGGAGATGGTGAAGGCGGAGGAGATGGTGAAGGCGGAGGAGATGGTGAAGGCGGAGGAGATGGTGAAGGCGGAGGAGATGGTGAAGGCGGAGGAGATGGTGAAGGCGGAGGAGATGGTGAAGGCGGAGGAGATGGTGAAGGCGGAGGAGATGGTGAAGGCGGAGGAGATGGTGAAGGCGGAGGAGATGGTGAAGGCGGAGGAGATGGTGAAGGCGGAGGAGATGGTGAAGGCGGACAATGCAGTAAGGTGGAGAGACAAGTGGGCACGGGGATAAATCTGGGACAAGTGAAGCCTGTAAAGAGGCATGGGAGTGCGGCATGGGAGTGCGGCATGGGAGTGCGGCATGGGAGTGCGGCATGGGAGTGCGGCATGGGAGAGCACAATGGAAGTGCCATGGTGGGCGAACGGATGCGAGTGTGATGTAAGAGGCACTTATCATGCACAGCACACCAGATATTTTTCACAACACTCGATGGCCATACGTGTTCATACATATTAGCAAGCTATGAAGGCATGAAGCTCTCTACGTGAGGTGTGGAATAAATAAAAAGCTCTGAGCTGTGCACCAGCGGTGGCAGCAGCACCTGTGGGGTCGGGCAGGAAGTGTATTTGAGTGCCGGTGCGCTGCGCGTCCCCCTCGTGTGCCCCTGCACCCTCCACCTCCTCCACCCTCATCCCCCCCACGGCCACGCCCCTCTCAAACCGCTGTGAGTACTGCCGCCCGTCCCTCCACACGCGGGCTTCCAGCCACTGCAGAGGGGACATGGGGGTTGGTGTGGGGGTGGGGGTGGGCGGAGCAGGGGAACGGGGAGGGAAGGAGAGGTGGTGGCTGTGCGTCTGCGGCCAAGCCCAGAGAGATGTGTCTCGCGCATGTCACGGGAATGGACAGGAGGACCAACGCACATGTGCACCTGAGAGGCACCTGAGAGGCACCTGACAGGCACCTGAGTGGCACCAAAGAGGCACCTGAGATGAGAGGCACCTGAGTGGCACCTGAGAGGCACTTGAGAGGCACCTGAGAGGCACCCGACAGGCACCTGAGTGGCACTAAAGAGGCACCTGAGTGGCACCTGAGCGGCACCTGAGAGAGGGCGTTGACGACCGACACTCCCACGCCATGCAGCCCTCCCGACACGCGGTAACCGCTTGAGTCGCCCCCGAACTTGCCGCCCGCATGCAGCACCTGCAGTTGAGGGAGGCGAGTGATGCAGTGCAGCCATGAGGAAGGGGGTCGAGGTTGTGGGGTGAGTCGAGGTCGTGCCGACTTGGTCAGAGGAAGGTGTCGATCGGATCGGGATGATGCAAGGGGTGGGTGACGGGAGGGGGTGCAGGTGCAGCATGCAGGAGGGCGGGCATGGTGTGGAGCATGCAGGAGGGCGGGCATGGTGTGGAGCATACAGGAGGGCGGGCATGGTGTGGAGCATACAGGAGGGCGGGCATGGTGTGGAGCATACAGGAGGGCGGGCATGGTGTGGAGCATGCAGGAGGGCGGGCATGGTGTGGAGCTTGCAGAGTTGAAACAGGAGAGGCAGATGAGGGCAGGCGGGTGACTCACTGTGAGCACGGTCTCCAGTGCCGACTTGCCCGTGGATGGATGGATGTCCGTTGGAATCTGCATTGCCATGCGCACAGTGATACACACACATGCGCGCGCTCATGTGCCCCCCCCCCCCCCCCCCCACACACACACACAACACAAAGCACAGACCAGGCAACCAAGAGACGAGTTTGAAGAGTGAATAACCAGGCAGGAGCACGCACACAGCAAGGTTGGAGCACGCACACAGCAAGGTTGGAGGAATGGACGTCCATCCATCCTTTGGGGCTCACCCGCCGCTCCACCCCGCCTGAAAGAAACTGACCCCAACCGTCCCTCTTTCCATTGTGTGCGTCGCACGCAGATACACGAGCCCCTGGAAGCACACATACCATGTGGAGTCCCTTCGTCCAGCCCCTACCACCCTCAACCATCATCTCCGCTCAATGCTTGTCGACTCACCTCGCCCCTATGCCGCTATCAGTGACGCACACTGAGACATCAATCCCCATTGGCACAGGCACAGTGTGATGAGCGTAAGCCCAGTATGCGCTGCATCGTAACCCTTCAACCAACCCACCATGAACCCCCTTCAGCCACTCTCGCTCACCCCGCGGCCGTTGTCAGTGTGCGCACGGAGAAGTCAGCCCCCAGCGACCCGTCACGGGCAGAGCACAGGCACGGCCTGGTGATTGTAACCCCTTTCTTCACCTTACCGCCACACCCTCTCACCCCGCGCCCGTCAGCACAGGCAGCACAGAGGAACGGTGTGGTGATTGTGATTGAAGGCACACGCCCTCGCGGCCATTGTCAGTGACACACACGCAGCCGTACGCCCCCAACAGCACGGGCAGTGCACAGCAGCACAGGCGTGGTGTGGTAAGTGTAATCCCCTACTCCAGTATGCCCTGCATCCCAGTCGTTCAGCCACCCCCCTGCCCTACGCTTTTATGTCCTCTCACCCCGCGGCCGTTGTCAGTGACGCACACGGACCCATCAGCCCCCAGCAGCACGTCCACCGTGGTCGCATGGCCCGCCTGCGCCTCGTCGATGGCATTGTCCACCACCTCGTACACCTGCCGTGGCAGCAGCATGCATGGGCAGGGGGGAGGTGGGAGGTGGGGGTTGAAGCTGTGTCGACGCACCTCAGGGCCTCTGCGCCTCGTCGATGGCGTTGTCCACCACCTCGTACACCTGCCGTGGCAGCAGCATGCATGCACGCATGGGGGAGGAGAGGGTGCGCAGCAGACAGGCTTCCACATGTGCTCACCACCTCACGTCCACTTTGCTGGCATGGCCCGGGGAGGGGAGGTGGGGAGGAGATGGGGAAGGAGGGGGGAAGTGTACGCAGTACAATTGGCACGTGGCCATGCGGGAATTCCACAATCTCTCACCTCAACCGATGCACTGTACAGCACGACTGGTGCAGAGCGGTTGGCTCTCACCAGCTGGTGAAGCGCACTGCAAGGCAGTGGGCTCACTAGGTGGTGCAGAGCGGTGCAAGGCGGTGGGCTCACCAGGTGGTGCAGGCCACGGGGCCCGGTGCTGCCGATGTACATGCCTGGCCGCCGCCGCACCGGCTCCAACCCCTCCAGCACCTGGTGGGTGGCAGCACGCACGGCACGGGCATGATGTGAGTCACAGTGACATGGACAGCAAGTTGAGAGTTGCCAGGGCAAAGGGAAAAAGCTGCCTCAACAACAGAGGCAAGAGGGTATCGTGGTTGGGTGGCAGGGAGGCCCTCATCTCCTCCCTCCATTTTCGTCGCCTATCTCTTAACTCTGTCCGCTCCACCCAACAGCATTCCCTCCTGCACCCAACAGCATTCCCTCCTGCACCCAACAGCATTCCCTCCTGCACCCAACAGCATTCCCTCCTGCACCCAACAGCATTCCCTCCTGCACCCAACAGCATTCCCTCCTGCACCCAACAGCATTCCCTCCTGCACCCAACAGCATTCCCTCCTGCACCCAACAGCATTCCCTCCTGCACCCAACAGCATTCCCTCCTGCACCCAACAGCATTCCCTCCTGCACCCAACAGCATTCCCTCCTGCACCCAACAGCATTCCCTCCTGCACCCAACAGCATTCCCTCCTGCACCCAACAGCATTCCCTCCTGCACCCAACAGCATTCCCTCCTGCACCCAACAGCATTCCCTACTGCACCCAACAGCATTCCCTCCTGCACCCAACAGCATTCCCTCCTGCACCCAACAGCATTCCCTCCTGCACCCAACAGCATTCCCTCCTGCACCCAACAGCACTCCCTCATGGCACCGCCTCACCTGAATGTGCTCTGCGCCGTAGCTCGATTTGCTCTTCTTCCCCCCTCTCCCCTTGCCCCGCCCCTCCTTCCCCTCCTCCGCCCCACCAGACGCGCTAGCCCGCACTACTTCCGCGCCACCATCCCTCTCCTCCGCCGACCGCAGCTGCGCGTCCGCTGCGCCGCCCCCCGCGCCGATGGACACCCTTCTTATTGCGCCGATTCCTGCGCCCCTGTCTCCGCCGCAGGCAGAGGCTAACAGCTGTCTGTCTCTTCCGCCTATCCCCGCAAGCGCCCTAGGCGCACACAATGAGGCGCGTAAGCTCCGCGCGGAGCTGGGAAGATGAAGGTGGCGCGCGGGGGGGCTGGTGGGGCTGCATACTCGGGCCGCGGGGGGTGAGGGCGGGGGGACACCGCTGGGAAAGGGAAACAGGATGCCGGCACGAGCCGTGGGAGCGAGACGCGCGGCGGCGGCGCGGATGGCGGAGGGGCGGGGGAAAGAGGCGGCGAGTACAGCCCTGCGGTATAGGGCCATGCCCATGGCGGGCTGCAACAAGACGACTAAAGGAATTTTGGAGAGTCAGATAAATGGGTGTAAGTGGTATTATGAGCAGATAGACACGGGTGATATGCCGCCTAAGGAGTATTGGCGTGAGCCGTGGCGGCAAGAATATGATCGATGGATGAGAGTGGGAGAGAATTCAGTACAATTGATGAGTGGAATCTGGGTTTCGGAAAGCATTACCGCTTGGGTTGAGGCGCTAGTGGAGGCGCGCGCGTAACCGAATTTGTGGGCTGAGGAAAACTGTTATGAGTTGTACTAAAGAGAGTGCACGGAAGACTTTATAAAGAGAACGTGATTACAAAATAAAGAAACAATGAGGAAAGCGAGCAAATAAAGGGCGAATACGTGCCAGGCGAGAACCTCGTGATGTGCGTGGCTCGGAAATGTCGCGATTGGTGCGGGGCGACTCGGAATGTGGTTCTGGCCGAAGTGTAGGCCGAACCCAAACTGACGCGAACAGTTCGGGCTGTCCTCGCTAGGAGCAGCCTCTACAGTACTGAATTCATATTCATTACACTCTCCCACCATCTAAATAAGGTGCCTGTCAAACTATAATGCTTGTTGTTGGTTGTAGGCTGTAGTGGGGTAGCTTACATGGGGTACAACATATTCTAGGGTTTGTATTTGTATCCCAACTCTTCCTAGTTCATTCATCGTTGCTTAGTATTCTCAACATGGTATCAGAGCAGTAGGTCCGTAGGACCGGTTTTTTTCAGGCCCACCAGTTACCGCGCTACCCCACGCCCTGCCCAGCCCTGTACCATCCGCGCGCGCCGCTTCTGCAGCTAGCGCGCCGCCCTTGCAGTTTCGCGCGCGTTGCCTCTGCAGCCCGCGATTCGCCTTTCTGCAGCCCGCGCGCCGCCCCTGCTGCCCCGCGTGCCGCCTTTGCCGCCCTCGCGCGGCCCCTTGCAGCCCCGCGCGCCGCCTAAGCAGCCCGCGCGCTGCGTGCCCTGCCCTGCGCGCGGACCCTACAGCCTGCGCGCCGCCTTCGCCGCCCTCGCGCGGCCCCTTGCAGCCCCGCGCGCCGCCTACGTAACCCGCGCGCTGCGTCCCCTGCCCTGCGCGCGGCCCCTGCAGCCTGCGCGCCGCCTTCGCCGCCCTCGCGCGGCCCCTCGCAGCCCCGCGTGCCGCCTAAACAGCCCGCGCGCTGCGTCCCCTGCCCGGCGCGCGGCCCCTGCAGCCTGCGCGCTGCCGCTTACCGCCCTCGCGCGGCCCCCCCTTTGCAACCCCGCGCGCCGCCCCAGCAGCCCGGGCGCTGCTCCTACTGCCTCGCGCGCGGCCCCCTGCAGCCTGCGCACTGCCGCTTGCGGCCCCGCGCGAGCCCTAGCAGCCTGCGCGCCGCCCTTGTTGCCCCGCGCGCAGCCACTGCAGCCCTCACCCTGCCTCTGCCCTGCCCTGCACACCGCCCTTCCGTAGCCGTACGCCACCCTACCCTACCCTACACGCTACCCTAGTGCCAGCTCGCCGCCCTGCTTTCTCTGAGTGCCGCCCTGCTGGTCGCACGCCTCCGACGTTTGCCCGCTATGACTTCTCTTCGTGGTAGCAGTGGGCTTGGTGGCGGCGGTGATTGCAGCAGTGAGAGTGGTGGCAGCAGCCGTAGTGGCAGTCGCGGTGGAGCTGTTCGGTGGTGAGTTCCTGGCGGTGGCTTGTGTCAAACATTATGCATGTTGTAGCTTTGTAGGCTACAGTGGGTTTAGCCTTAGAGGGTACAGAACTCTAGGGTTTCATATTTGTACTCTCATTCCTGTTAGTCATTCTCATTCTCGTTCTATTCTTCACATGGTATCAGAGCAGGTTCCCTCGTGGGAACTGTTCCTAGGGCCCACCGATATTTTTTTTCCTGCCCGGAGCGCACTCCGCCCCTGCCCGAGTCGCGCTCCCCTCTTACTGCCCCTAGCGGCCCCGTCGCGCCGCCCTTGCGGCCACGTCGCGCCGCCTTTGCGGCCCCGTCGCGTCGCCCTCGCGGCCCCTTCTCGCCGCCCTCGCGACCCCGGCGCCGCCTCTACTGGCCCCGTCGCCCTACCCTCGCGACCCCGCGGCCCCACCCTCGCGGCCCCGCGACCCCACCGCCGCCCTTCGCGGCCCCGTCGCCCTTCGCGCCGCCCGCGACCCCGTCGCCGCAGCCGCCCGCGACCCCGTCGCCGCAGCCGCCAGCGACCCAGTCGTCGCAGCCGCCGGCGACCCCGTCGTCGCCGCCGCCCGCGACCCTGTCGCCCCACCCGTGCGACCCCGGCGCCGCCCTACGCGGCCCGGTCGCCACCCTTCGTGGCCCCGTCGCCTCCTGTCAGTGGCCCTGCCGCCCTTCACGGCTCCGCCGCCATCACCGAGCAGCCGAGCCGCCGAGACGCCGGCGCCGCCGAGCCGCCGTTGCCGCCGAGCTGCAGGCGCCGCCGAGCCGCCGTTGCCGCCGAGCTGCCGAGCCGCCAAGCGCCGTTACCGCCGAGCAGCTGCCGAGCCACCGAGCCGCCACTGCCGCCGAGCTGCCGAGCCGCTGAGCCGCCGAGCCGCCGTTACTGCCGTCGCGGCCCTGTTCCTACGGGCGAGCCTCGGTCCCTCTCGCCTGCCCGGTAAGAGCAGCGCCTCCACCACTGCACTGCCCTTGCCTGCTGCTCGCGCTGCTAGTCTACTGCTGTCATGGCTGCCCCTAGTGTCCTCACTTTTGACGCTGAGGGTCGGGCCATTGACTTTGACGTCTGGGTAGATGACCTGCAGCTTTTCCTGCTGAGCGATAGGGCAGACGGTCTCTCCCTCTTTGACCTCACTTCTGGTGCCTCTCCTGCACCTGCTGCTGATGCTGACCCCACTGTTCGCTCACAGTGGGCCACGCGCGATGCTGCTGCCCGCCTTGCTGTGCGCCGCCACTTGCCGACTGCTGAGCGTGCGCACTTTAGCCAGTACAAGAGTGCTAAGACCTTGTACGACGCTGTAGTTGCACGCTACTCTTCCCCTGCCACTGCTGCGCTTAGCCGCCTCATCCTACCGTACCTCTTCCCTGACCTCGCCGCTTTTCCCACTGTCGCTGACCTCATCACCCACCTTCGCACTAGTGACACTCGCTACCGCGCTGCGCTTCCTGCTGAGTTCTGCGCCAAGAACCCCCCCCCCCCATGTACATCACCCTCTACTACATAGTCACCCGGCTCCCTGACACCCTTCGCCCGGTCAGGGACCACTTCCTCTCTGTTTGCCCCACCACCCTCACCGTTGACCTCCTCGAGGAGCGCCTTCTAGCGGCAGAGAAGAGCATAGTCGCTGTAGGAGCCTCTCGTGGTGACCCTCGTACCCCTGTCTTTGAGGGGTGCTCCCCCTCTCCCCTCCTGCCCTCTGTTGCCTCTGCTGCTGCGGTCGACCTTGTTGGTCTTGAGTCGGTCGCTGCGGCGTCTGCCCCTAGCGGGAGACGCCGCCCTGGCAAGGGCAAGGGGGGCAAGGGTGCTGGAGGAGCTGGCGGGGGCGGTGGAGGCGGAGGTGGAGGTGGTGGAGGGGGTGGGGGTGGCGGTGGGGGTGGTGGCGGGGGTGGGGGCGTCGGTGGCGGCAGTGGAGGCGAAGGCGGAGGCGGCGGTGGCGGTGGGAGCGGAGGTGGCGGAGGTGGCGGTAGTGGAGGCGGTGGAGCCGGAAGAGGTGGAGCTGGTCGGGGTGGCGCTGCACAGAGGGTTGGCTCCGGTGGTGGTACGCGCCAGCAGCAGCAGCAGCAGCGTACTCGTGAGACCCCTTCCCCCCAGCAGCTTCGTGAGTGGTACACTGCTCGTCAGCGGGGCGGGGGTGCTGGCCCCTGTACCTACGTTCTCCGTACCGGCGACCGCGCGGGTGAGCAGTGTGGGGGGGCGCACTCCACCCAGCGCTGCTTCGGCCGTCTGACGGACGCGTGGCGTCACCAGTTCCCCGACGCTACTGAGATCCCTCGCTGGGGCGAGCTGTCTAGGGTGGGTGTTGCGATCTTTGCTCTTGATTATGATGCTATTATTGCTGCCATGTATGCTGTGACTATTAGTGATGAGGGTGACTGTTACCGGTGTTTTCCGCCTGACCCGGGCATTGAGGCTACTGCTCTAGGTGCTGGTGAGGCTGCTGTTACCGGTGTTTTCAGGTAGCCGCGTCGGGTCAGGTGTTTGCTGCGGCGTCCAGGTCTGGTCCTGAGTCTGCCCCCTGCTCGTGTCGTCTCCTGTCTCACCGGACTCTCCTCTGGCACCACCGCCTTGGTCACCCCTCCCTGCCTCGTCTTCGAGGCATGGCTTCCCGTCTTCTTGTCTCTGGCCTCCCCCGGTCCCTCCCTCCCCTTCCTCCGGGGCCTGCCCCCACCTGCGTTCCCTGCGTCGAGGGGCGGCAGCGCGCTGCTCCTCACTCCTCCGAGTTTCCTCCGACAGAGGCTCCGCTGCAGACGCTTCACATGGACGTGTGGGGCCCCGCCCGCGTCCGTGGGCAGGGTCACGAGCGTTACTTCCTGCTGGTGGTTGACGACTACTCGCGTTACACCACAGTCTTCCCCTTGCGCAGCAAGGGTGACGTCACTGAGGTGTTGATCGCCTGGATCCGCGCAGCTCGTCTCCAGCTCCGGGAGAGTTTCGGCTCTGACTTTCCTGTTCTGCGTCTGCACTCCGACAGAGGCGGAGAGTTCTCCTCTGACCTTCTGCGGGCCTTCTGTCGTGCACGAGGCATCCGCCAGACCTTCACGCTTCCGGACTCTCCACAGCAAAATGGGATTGCTGAGCGCCGCATTGGCATGATCATGGACGTCGCTCGTACGTCCATGGTCCATGCGGCTGCCCCCCATTTTCTGTGGCCGTTTGCGGTTCGGTACGCGGCGCATCAGATCAACCTTCACCCCCGGGTCTCCAGGCCGGAGACCTCCCCTGCTTTACTGTGGACGGGGAAGGTTGGCGATGCGTCTGCGTTCCGTGTCTGGGGATCTCGGGCGTTTGTCCGCGACTTGTCTGCGGACAAGCTGTCCTCTCGTGCTGTTCCCTGCGTCTTCCTTGGCTTCCCTCCTGACGCGCCAGGCTGGCAGTTCTACCACCCCACCTCGCGCCGTGTTCTGTCCTCCCAGGACGTCACCTTTGACGAGTCGGTTCCCTACTACCGTCTCTTCCCCTACCGCACTGCGTCCCTCCCTCCCCCGCCGCTCTTCCTTACGCCAGGTCCCCCTCCGGTAGACCCCCTCCCCCCTCAGGGTCCTGCTCCCTCAGGTGTGTCCCAGGTAGATGCAGTCGAGCCTGTCGAGGTAGCTGTTGACTCTGGTGCTGCTGGGGGTGCTGAGCCTGGGGGTGCTGGGTCTGGGGGTGCTGCGACTGGGGGTGCTGAGCTTGGGGGTGCTGAGCCTAGGGGTGCTGAGCCTGGGGGTGCTGCGCCTGGGGGTGCTGAGCCTGGGGGTGCTGCGCCTGGGGGTGCTGAGCCTGGGGGTGCTGTGTCTCGGAGTACGGAGCCTGAGGGTGCTGGGCCTGCTCGTGAGGCGTCTGGTGGTGCTGGGCCTGGCGGTTCTTCGGGTGCTTCGTCCCGGCGGGAGCTACTCTCTCCACAGGAGCTGCGTGAGTGGTTCGCCCGGCGCTGGCGGCGTGCTCCTGGAGCTGGAGCTGCTGCGTCTTCGGGTGGTCCGGCTGGAGCTGGAGCTACTGGGGGTGTTGGCGCTGGAGGTGCTACTGGCGCTGGTGCTGCTGAGGGTGCTAGAGTTGGCGCTGCTGGAGCTGGTGGTGCTACTGGTGCTCCTGGCGTTGGTGCTGCTGGTGCTCCTGGAGCTGGAGCTACTGGGGGTGTTGGCGCTGGAGGTGCTACTGGCGCTGGTGCTGCTGAGGGTGCTGGAGTTGGCGCTGCTGGAGCTGGTGGTGCTACTGGTGCTCCTGGCGTTGGTGCTGCTGGTGCTCCTGGAGCTGGAGCTACTGGGGGTGTTGGCGCTGGAGGTGCTACTGGCGCTGGTGCTGCTGAGGGTGCTGGAGTTCGAGCTGCTGGAGCTGGGGGTACTCCTGGTGCTGGTGCTCCCGTTGGGGGTGCTAGTGCTGTTCCTGCTGGCACTGGTGGCGCTACGCGACCACGGCCGTACTTCGTTCCGCTCCTTGAGCAGGTTCTTGGTCTTCCGTCCTCTCTTGGTCCTGCTCCTCCCTTAGCGTGTCCGCCTCCTGTCCAGACTGAGTCACAGTTACAGCCGGCCTCCCCGCTTCCTTCTCCTTCTCCCTACACTGGTCCTACTAGAGGTCTTGCTGAGCGTCGTGAGCCTGCGTCTCGCCCTGCGTCGCCTGTCCGTGCTGCTCGCACTAGTGGTCGTGGTTCGCGTCAGCGTCCTCCCCCTGTCCCCGGCACGCACCGGATGTCTCTGCGTCCTTCCACTGCTCCGCTGCGTGCCCCTTTGCCCTCTCCTCCAGCGTCCTCTCTTCCTGAGCTTCCTGACCCTGAGTCGGACTCCCTTCGTGCTGCGCGTCCTACTGTCACACGTCTCCTTGCTACTGTCGTCACTGACCCTTCCTTTGAGTCTACTGCTGCGTCTGCCCTGGTTGCTGAGCTTGTCGACTTTGCTGCCTGTCGTCTAGACTACGCTGCTAGTCTCGTTGCTGAGTCTGAGTCTGTCTGTCCTCCGTCCGTCGGGGGTGAGTGTGCTCTTGGCACGGACGTCCTTGAGGACAGGCAGGAGGAGTTCCAGTGCTTGGCTGCTGCTTCACCTCATCTCGTGGCCATGCTACTTGCCCCTGAGGGAGACCCGGATGCACTAGACATCCCGACTCCGCGCTCTTACGCGGAGGCGATAGAGGGTCCCTACTCCTCTCAGTGGCAGGCAGCCATGGACGCAGAGATGGCTTCCTGGAAGTCCACAGGCACCTACGTTGACGAGGTTCCCCCTCCTGGGGCGAACATCGTCAGTGGCATGTGGATTTTCAGGGTGAAGCGGCCGCCGGGTTCTCCGCCTGTCTTCAAGGCGCGTTACGTGGCTCGTGGTTTCAGTCAGCGGCAGGGAGTTGACTACTTTCAGACCTTCTCTCCCACCCCGAAGATGACTACTCTTCGGGTACTGCTGCACATAGCCGCTCACCGAGACTACGAGCTGCACTCTCTTGACTTCAGCACTGCTTTCTTGCAGGGCAGCCTGCACGAGGAGATCTGGCTGCGCCGCCCACCTGGCTTCACTGGGACTTTTCCTCCTGGCACCCAGTGGAGCCTCCGGCGGCCAGTCTACGGTCTCCGCCAGGCGCCGCGTGAGTGGCACGACACACTGAGGACTACACTTGCGGCTCTTGGGTTTGCTCCTTCGACTGCTAACCCGTCGCTGTTTCTGCGCACCGACTCTTCCTTGCCGCCGTTCTACATCCTCGTGTACGTCGACGACTTGGTCTTTGCTACAGCTGACACTGCTGGACTTGCCTACGTGAAGTCCGAGCTGCAGAAGAGACACACGTGCACAGACCTGGGTGAACTACGCAGCTACCTTGGCTTGCAGATCACCCAGGACAGAGCACAGCGCACCATTACCCTGACGCAGTCACACATGGTGCAGCAGGTCCTTCAGCGCTTCGGCTTCACGTACTCCTCGCCTCAGGCCACTCCTCTGTCTACACGTCACTCGCTCTCAGCTCTGCCTTCGGATGAGTCCGTAGAGTCGAGTGGCCCGTACCCAGAGCTTGTTGGCTGCCTCATGTACCTGATGACTTGCACTCGACCTGACCTTGCATACCCTCTTAGCATTCTTGCACGCTATGTTGCTCCTGGGAGACACAGACCAGAGCACATGGCTGCAGCGAAGAGGGTGTTGCGCTACTTGTGCAGTACGTCGGGCATGGGGCTTGTGCTTGGAGGGCAGAGTTCAGTGGTCCTCACTGGTCACGCAGACGCTTCTTGGGCTGACGACCAGGCTACGCAGCGGTCGTCACAGGGTTACACCTTCAGCCTTGGTTCCGGCTCTGTTTCGTGGCGGTCTACCCGCTCGTCTTCTGTTCTCGGCTCCAGTTGTGAGGCTGAGATCTACGCAGGGGCCATGGCTGCACAGGAGCTACGTTGGCTCACCTACCTGCTGACTGACCTCGGAGAGCCGCCTCGTTCTCCTCCAGTGCTGTACGTAGACAACAAGGCCATGCTGGCCTTGTGTCGGGAGCACAGACTGGAGCACAGAACGAAGCACATCGCTCTTCGCTACTTCCTTGCTCGTGAGCTGCAGCAGCGTGGTCAGCTGCGCCTTGCTTACGTGGCCTCTGAGGCCAACACTGCTGATATCTTCACTAAGTCACTCGCGCCTTGTGATCATCAGGTCTTGTGCCTACCTTGCCTCACTTGCTTACTTCTTGACCTTGCTTGTACTGTTACATATATATACCTGCCCTTGCTTGTTTAGCGTTATATATATGTAACCTTGCATGTGAACTGGCCTTGTGGCCTTGAACTTGTGCTCAGAATGTGTGGTGACATTGAGATCCACCCTGAGCTTGCTTTGCTTTTCTTGACTGGTCTTGTGACCCCTTGTTCTCCCCCACTTTGCCTATGGGGGTGTGTCAAACATTATGCATGTTGTAGCTTTGTAGGCTACAGTGGGTTTAGCCTTAGAGGGTACAGAACTCTAGGGTTTCATATTTGTACTCTCATTCCTGTTAGTCACTCTCATTCTCGCTCTATTCTTCACAGCCTGGTGCAGCTGCAGCGGCGTCCGCGCGAGACCCTTACGCCCCAGCAGCTTCGTGAGTGGTACGCTCAGCGTGGGGCGTCTCGGAGTACTGCTCGCTGCCCGTACATCATTCGCACAGGTGCTCGGGCTGGTCAGACTTGCGGGACAGTTGGCCACACACAGTCCCGCTGCTTCGCCTATCTGAGCGACGCCTGGCGCGCAGAGTTTGGCGACGAGGCTGAGCTCCCCCACTGGCTAGAGCTCGTTCAACGCAGCATGGATTTCTTTGCTCCAAACTTTGACGCTATCCTTACTTCCATGTTTGCTTTGACTGTCAGTACCGACGGTGACTGTTACCTGTGTGTGCCGCCTGACCCAGGTATAGAGGCTGCTGCTCTAGGTCCTCGCGAGTCTGCTCTCTTTGGTACTGCGCCTGCTGAGGCCTTGCACACTTTCACGCTTGACTCTCTCGCTGCTTCTTTCGCAACAGTACCACAGTCACACCACTCCGTAGACCCATTACAGTCTCACTGGCTGACCCCTCTGGGGGCCCGGTTCTTGCACGTGCCTCCACTGTTCTCCCGTGTCCGGCGGTTCCGTCCGGCTCACTGTCAGGTCTCCACCTCCCCTCGTTCTCGACGAACTTGGTGAGTAACGCCGTCCTTCAGAATGCAGGGGTTGACACCTTTACCCTTGGAGGACAGCGTGTGGCGATCTGCACGTGCTCCCGGACTGGCCGTCACCTGGCCACGTTCACCCGTCGGCCTGGGTCGAGTCTGTACACACTGACTACTGAGCCTCCTCAGGTTGCTGCGTCTGGTCAGGTGTCCGAGTCAGGTCAGGTAGCCCCTCCTTGCGAATGTCGTCACCTGTCGCACCAGACCCTCCTTTGGCACCACCGCCTTGGTCACCCCTCCCTGCCACGCCTTCGTGGCATGCACTCCCACCTACTTTTCACTGGTCTTCCCAGGTCTCTGCCTTCCCTCCCACCCTCCCCGGCCCCGCCCTGCATTCCTTGCGTCGAGGGACGGCAGCGCGCCGCTCCTCACTCCTCCTCGTTTCCCCCGACGACTGCTCCCCTGCAGACCCTCCACATGGACGTGTGGGGCCCAACCCGCGTCGAGGGACAGAGTCGCGAGCGATACTTTCTGCTGGTTGTCGACGACTACTCGCATTACACCACGGTCTTCCCCTTGCGCAGCAAGGGTGAGGTCCCTGCTGTCTTGATCCCTTGGATCCGCGCTGTACGTCTCCAGCTGCGCGAGCGGTTCCGCACGGACCTTCCCCTCCTACGTCTGCACTCTAATAAAGGTGGTGAGTTCTCCTCCGACCTATTGCTGGACTTTTGTCAGGAGGAGGGCATCCTCCAGTCGTTCACGCTTCCGGCCTCTCCGTAGCAGAATGGGGTTGCTGAGCGCCGCATTGGCTTAGTCATGGAGGTCGCTCGTACCTCCATGATCCATGCGGCTGCTCCCCATTTTCTGTGGTCGTTTGTGGTCCGGTACTCTGCGCACCAGCTCAACCTCTGGCCCCGTGTCTCCGTGCCGGAGACCTCGCCCACACTGCATTGGACGGGGGAGGTTGGCGATGCGTCGCGGTTCCGGGTCTGGGGCTCTCGTGCCTTTGTCCGCGATACCACCGCGGACAAGCTCTCCTCTCGCGCCATTCCCTGCGTCTTCCTTGGCTTTCCCCCTGACGCGCATGGCTGGCAGTTTTACCACCCCACCTCGCGCCGTGTCTTCCCCTCTCAGGACGTCACGTTTGACGAGTCGGTTCCCTTTTATCGTCTCTTTCCCTACCGAACTACCCCTCTTCCCCCCCCCTCCGCTCTTCCTCGCTCTAGGTCCCCCTCCGGTAGACCTCCTCCCCCGTTAGGGTCCTGCTCCTTCAGGTGTGTCTCAGGTAGACCCACTTCCCTTGGCTGAGCCTGTCGAGGTCACTGGTGACTCGGGTGCTGCTAGGGGTGGTACTGCTCAAGCTGCTGCATCTGGAGGTGCTGAGCCTGTGGGTGCTGAGCCTGGGGGTGCGGAGCCTGGGGGTGCGGAGCCTGGGGGTGCTGAGCCTGGGGGTGCTGAGCCTGGAGGTGCGGAGCCTGGGGGTACTGAGCCTGGGGGTGCTGCTTCTAGGGGTGCTGAGCATGGTGGTGCGTCTGCTGGTGGTCTTCAGGGTGCCTCGCAGCAGCGGTCTCCCCAGCCTGCGCCCCTCTCACCGCAGCAGTTGCGCGAGTGGTTTGCCATGCGCACCCGCCTTCGGAGTCACGCTGCTGGAGCTAGGGACACTGGCGCTGCTGGCGCTGGAGCTGCGGGTGCTGGACTTGGAGACGCTGGAGCTGGAGGTGCTGGAGCTGGGGGTACTGGCGCTAGAGGCGCTGGAGCAGGCGACACTGGAGCTGGAGGCGCTGGCGCTGGCGGTGCTGACGCTGGAGGCGCTGGCACTCGTGGCACTGGAGCTGGAGGTACTGGAGCTGGGAGCCCTAGGGCTGGAGGTACTGGCACTGGAGGCGCTGACCCTCGGGGCACTGGAGCTGGAGGTACTGCCGCTAGCGGCGCTGGTGCTGTAGCAAGAGGTACAAGAGCTGGTAGCGCTGGCGCTGGAGCTGGCGCTCCTGGAGCTGGAGGTGCTGGAGGTACTGGAGCTGGAGGTCCTGACGCTGGAGGTGCCAGAGCTGGTGACGCTGGTGCTGGAGCTGATGCTACTGGAGCTGGAGGAGCTGCCGCTGGCAGCGCTGGAGCTGGCACTACTGCAGCTGGCGGTGCTGGCACTGGAGGTGCTAGAGCTGGAGGCTCTGTGCAGCAGCGAACGTTTTTCGAGCCGTCGCCTCAGCTGTCTGAGCTTCCGCCCGAGTCGGTGCTCCGCCAGGTTCTTAGTCTTCCTTCGTCCACTGCCCTTCCTCCTGGCTCGCCACTCCCTGCCCCGTCTCGTTACACTATGTAGCCAGTCTCCCTTACAAAGCGTTGTGAGCCTGCATTTCGTCCTGTCTCCCCTGTTCGCGCTGTTCGCACCGCTCGTCGTGTCCCGCGTCCGCGTCCTCCTCCTGTGCCAGGCACTCACACTATGGCACTTCGTCCTTCCTCTGCTCCACAGCGTGTCCCGCTGCCGTCTCCTCCTGCGTCCTCTCTTCCTGAGCTTCCTAACCTTGAATCTGACCGTATTCATGCTGCTAGCCCCACGGTCACGCGTCTCCTGGCCTCTGTTGTCACTCACCCGTCATTTGAGTCTATTGCTACGTCTGCCTTAGTTGCTGAGCTTGTGGACTTTGCTGCTGCCTGTCGCCTAGACTACGCCACCAGTCTTGTTGCTGAGTCTGAGTCTGTCTGTCCTCCGTCCGTCGGGGGTGAGTGTGCTCTTGGCACGGACGTCCTTGAGGACAGGCAGGAGGACTTTGACTCTCTTGCGACTGCTGTACCTCATCTCGTGGCCTGGCTGCTTGCACCTGAGGGAGACCCGGATGGACTGGACATCCTGACCCTGTGCTCTTACGCAGAGGCGATCTCGGGTCCCTACTCCTCTCAGTGGTAGACAGCCATGGACGCAGAGATGGCATCCTCGAAGTCCACAGGCACCTACGTCGACGAGGTTTCCCCTCCTGGGGCGAACATAGTCGATGGCATGTGGATTTTCAGGGTGAAGCGGCCGCCGGGTTCTCCGCCTGTCTTCAAGGCTCGTTACGTTGCACGAGGCTTCAGTCAGCGACAAGGAGTTGACTTCTTCCAGACCTTCAACCCCACCCCGAAGATGACTACTCTTCGGGTGCTGCTGCACGTTGCCGCTCAGCGTGACTACGAGCTTCACTCTCTTGACTTCAGCACAGCCTTCTTACAGGGCAGCCTGCACGAGGAGATCTGGTTGCGCCGCCCACCTGGTTTCACTGGGTCGTTCCCTCCTGGTACCCAGTGGAGCCTCCAACGGCCAGTCTACGGTCTCCGCCAGGCGCCTCGTGAGTGGCACGACACACTGAGGACGACACTTGCGGCTCTTGGGTTTGCTCCTTCCACAGTTAACCTACCGTCGCTGTTTCTTCGCACCGACACTTCTATGCCGCTGTTCTACATCTTCGTGTACGTCGACGACTTGGTCTTTGCCACTGCTGACACTGAGGCACTGGCCCTTGTGAAGTCGGAGCTGTAGAAGAGACACACGTGCACAGACCTGGGTGAGCTGCGCAGCTACCTTGGCTTGCAGATCACCCGGGACAATGCTTGTTGTTGGTTGTAGGCTGTAGTGGGGTAGCTTACATGGGGTACAACACATTCTAGGGTTTGTATTTGTATCCCAATTCCTAGTTCACTCATCCTTGCCTAGTATTCTCAACAATGCCTTTATTCGTAGCCGAGTCTTGCAGTAGCGTGAATACTGCAGATCTTCGGTTGAAGCCGATCTGACGGTGTAGAAAGCGTTGATTGTCAAGTTGATACGAGGCTGACCAGTTGATCAGGCGAAATTGAGTAGAGTTGGAATGTCTGCGGTCAAATTTCCCAGATGTCGATCCGACAATCGCGATTGAAGTGGCGAACTGAATACGCGATTGAATTATAATCGTTGGTGTAGCGGTTTCGAATCGGACGGTAGTGACGATGGCGATGTTGGCGAGAGTCTGACACGATGTCAGGTGTCGGTGAATCGGTAGCTGTTGATGTCGATGAAGTCATCGCGAGCGTCGGTTGTGGTGAATGTGTCAGACGAGACTGTAAAAAAAATGGTGAAGTACAGTGCGAGAGCACTCTGTCTCCCCCTCGTCGAAAGACTGCTGCCACCCCAAAAACCCCCGCGTGGCAGCATCAAATCACCTGACTGCTGCAGAATCTCCAGCTGGCAGTTAATTGCTGCCCAACATTTACTGCCGTTGTCTTGTTGTCGTGGCGAAATCAGGATCCGTGATTGCGGCAGCATCTCCAGCTGTTAGAAGCTGCCACCCGTTTTGACGTTGGCTCGAACTTGTTGACACGTTTGTCGCTAGTAGAACACCCCGATGTCAAACTATAATGCTCTTTGTTGTTTGTAGGCTGTAGTGGGGTAGCTTACATGGGGTAAAACACTTTCTAGGGTTTCTACTTGTATCCCAACCCTTTCTAGTTTCATTCATTCTTGGCCTAGATTCTCAACACCCAAACCCAGTCCAATAATCCTTCAGTCATGACTTGGGATCTTCAAAGTTTGTCGTCGAAGCCGTCGCGAAAATTGCGAATGTCGTTGAAGCAAGATGGCGACATTCAGCGAGAAGGGCGAGGTCACGTAACTGACCGAGTGTTAGTCTTGAAAACTCAATTGAAGGCCCGTACTCAGGTACGTATGACGTCAGCGCCCCTGGCGACCTTCTCGTGACTCGCCGAGGCATTTGTCGTGTTTCTCCGAAAACTCCCAGGCAGAGGCGAAAAACAGCAGCTACTCCTCCCCCTGACCTCCGAAATATTCTTTCAAACTCGAACTTGAACTGCCGATGACGTCAGCATTGCCGTCGGCGTTGTCGTTACCCGCCGATAACTTCGAGGCAGAGGCGAAAAAGCTGTCCTTCCTCCCCCCACCTGTTGTCATAAAATATTCACCGATGTTGCGGCTGGTACCCCTGAAAACTCTCCAGATTTGCTGCCAATAAATTGCCCCCGGCAGGTTTCGCGCGCTTAACCAAGCGCCGCTGCAATCTCCGCCGTTCGCTTGTAACTGTCGGCCGTCACCGCCGAATTCTTGTAAAACTGATCCCCGGTACTCCCGTAAATGTTGGTGATGAAATGCACTCGTACGTCTTGGTCACCTGCAGGTTATCCCCTTGAAGAACCGGTGTATCTAGCGTGCCCACCCGTCGCCATTTTCATCGCCTGTGGTTAACCACACTAGCAACCCACCAAAAGGAGGCGCCCATGCGTCGGAACCCAAAACTATGGGTCTACCGGGACCGAGTTTCACGAAACCTAGCCTGCATCAACACCGCAGATCTTGCTGTAGAATTTCCCCAGATGGCCTTGAAGTACACCGTAAGGCGCTGAAATATTGTATGGGCAGACGTTCACCCGTCTCCCACCGTCGAAATGTCACCCGAAAATCATGGTTGCAGCAACAAGCCCCAAAGTATTTTCCGCCTTGTAGCCCCGACGTTTCCACTGTTGACCCATCTTCGTACCCGTCGTTCACCCATCTTCGTACCCCTCGAAATTACTTAGCAGATCCCAGGTATCCTTGGCAATACACCCCTCGCCGTGCCTCCATGTGTTAGATTTCCGACCCTTTTGTGCCAACCGAGTAGACCCGAAATTCACAGTGGAGTGGTGTACGGGCTCAATCTATCACTCAAGAAGCTTGGAGAGGCACCCAAAACTTTCCCACCAATTTTTTTGTCTTCACCCTCCGACAATTTCACTTTCCGCCGTTCACACAGCTTCTGCTTTTATTGGATGAGGTATAGTCCGTGTTGCCCGCGAATTTACTGGCGTTCGATGAAGGCGTGAACGCTATCGTAGTCGGAGCGAGTTTTTCATATCAAACTCTCAGCCGACCGCTTCGCTGCCCTCCGTGCCTATCGCTTTTAAAACTTCACAGCTTCGGGAACTCCATCTTCGCCGCTACACTGCCGTCGAGTAGACCATTGAATTAGGAGAAACACCGCCAGTTGCCACAACTTATCCAACCCCGACATTTTCGGCAGGGTAACTGTCGCCGATGGTCCGGTTTTGTCGAGGCCGAAACAGTGTCGCACCACTTCGAAATTTTCTTAACGCCCCGCTGTCAAACCAGCGCAATACCCGCGCCTTTCTAACCAGCACAGGGCTAAACACAGGGCCCCACCTTATTCGTCGAGGGCCAACAGGACTTATAATGCCTTCAAGGCACCTGGTGTGAGATTTGTGAAACGTTGTAAGACTTTGGCCGGTAGGGAGCTCGATCTGCTACCGCCGCTTTGCCGCGAAACCCGGCCTCAGCAAAAGTCTTCCCTTTAGGTCGTTTTCTCGCCTCCTGAAGTCCGGAACCCGTTTCTCTCGCCAAACCCGCTTTTCTTGCAACTCCGTGTATTGTAGCCGGTAGAACCCCCGAAAATCGTGGGTCTAGACGCTGCGTGAAACCGTTCTCCCGTCGCTGTACTGCCCCGTCTGCGACGCAACTTCCCTTGATCAGGGGGGACCTGTGTCGCCTGAAGTACTATGTCGGCTGCTTCTGTTGCTCCGAAATTTTCGCCGACTTCGTTGCAGGCGCAGAAGTGACCCTAACGCGAACAGTCTAGTCGTAGGCGGCCTGTTCCGAACTTTTCGGCGGTTTGAAAATAACTTCTGTCCCACAATGCACTGCTCCTGCCGGAAAACGCCTACAACGCACCCTCCTGCAGCAATGCCAGCTGCACTCGGGCGGGACGACGGTAGACCCCCGCTTTCTTCGGGCAGTCGTCACGCCGCCTCTCCTCGCCGCCGGTTTTCCTGACGCAAATCACCTTGCGCCTGGCTGCTCGACCAGCAGTCGTTTCCACGTGTTGCTACTCCGAATCTTCGCACACAGTGACCACGATCGCCACTTGCCGAAGACCTCCAACAGACACATGCGCAACGTGACGCAAAAGCTCGATGTCCCTTACTGCATGCAGTCCACTCCAAAGATTTCATGCGCAGTTGACGACCACGTAACTACGTCAACTCGCACCACGTTGCTTCCGTCAATTTCGGATGTTGCGCCGACGACGATCTTACCGACGTCAGCCGTTACACATAATCAACTCCGAAAAGGTTGAAAAACCAGCATTGTTAACTCACGCATTAAATGCGACGACAACACAAGCAATCCGCCACCCAGGGGGAGGGAGGTCACGGTCGATCTCGACCGTTGAGGGCAAGGATCCGTTGGTGCTGCAGGAGCGCCTATAATATTCATGGCCGCTAGGAGCAACTACCCGTTCTCCTGGCCGGCTACTGCGCTGCTCCTGTCACCACGGCATCCTTCCCTATCCCCCCCCCCCCCCCCCCCCCCCCCCCCCCGAGGGGTAATACACTCTAAAAAGCGGGGTGAGCTAGGAAAGTAGCTCTGATACCAAGTGTTATGAGATGTACTAAACAGAGTATGCAGAAGACTTCTATAAAGAGAACGTGATTACAGAATGAAGAAACAATGAAGAAAGCGAGCAAATATAGGGCGAATACGTTCTAGGCGAGAACCTCGTGATGTGCGTGGCTCGGACATGTCGCGATTGGTTCGAGGCGACTCGGAATGTGGTTTGGGCCGAAGTGTAGGCCGAACCCAAACTGACGCGAACAGTTCGGGCTGTCCTCGCTAGGAGCAGCCTCTATAGTGATGTATTCATATTCATTACAAAAACACTAAAGGAGTTAGGCCTATCATACACTATAGGATGTAAAACATCCACAGTCGTAACTGGAAACATTTCGTTTTGAGTCCGCCACTTGTTGCTACTCCAACCTCGCTTTCGTCAATCTTCTCGTGCCTCGCCAAACCATGCCGCTCTTGTCAGGGCTGGCATGGTTTCCCGCTCGTTTATCCTTCCCCGCACCGCCTCTATCATGTCAGGAGCATTGGTGGCACACTGGGTTCTCCTGGTCCCTCAGCTGGGAGCATTGAGACTGCGGACTTGAAAATCCGTAGACTTCCACCTCACGCTGACTATTTCGTAGATTCAAATCTGAGTTCACGTACTGTATCCCCGACCCTCGACCAAGCATAGCAGAATCGCCGGGCCAGACATGGCAGAGGCCTCGAATGGCGAAGCACCACCCCAGCAGCAAACCTTCGAATCCGATGGCGACCCTTTCTCGACGTTCTTGGACAACCTGCAGGGAGTTGTGCTGCTCGCGTGGCGTGCAACGGCGTCCGATTCGTCACCCAGGATCGTCCTATTACCGACGAGGAAGAAGCCGATCCTCAAGCCGCTCCCATCTGAGAGCGCGTGGCTCGCCGGCGATCCCGAGGCTCCTTGCAAGGCCACGAATGGTCGTTCTTCCAACGTAAAGTGCTCGTGGTCGCTGGTCTCCTTCCGCCACGCGCTCGTCTGCAAGCGCTGGTTGCGCGTCGCCCAGTTCGTGCATCCGGCCATCGTCGTTCCGCTCGACCGCTTCTTCTCTGCGCGCGCCCTCACGTCCCTACTCCGCGCGCCCGCGACCGCGGGGTTCCCAAATCTCCGCCACCTGCACCTCGCGCCGAACGCGCTGGACACCGTTGATCCCGCGCTCGTACGCTCCATCTGCGTCGGATCTGAGCCGTCCTTAACGCATCTCATGCTGCAGCTACACGACGGTTGGCTGCACCTGACGCGCCCACGACGGTACTCTTTTTGTGGGATCGCTGCACAGGCGGCGGCGGAAGCGGCGCTAACTGCGGGAATGATCTCGGCGGCCGATGTCGCTGCACTGCTCAGCTCTTGCACGCGATTGGTCAGTCTCGACGTGACCTTTGGGAGAAGAATTCTCGAGCTTCCCTCCTCCGTCAGTTGCCTGCAGCAGCTCACGAAGCTCGGCATATCCTTTGACGAAGATGTTACCACGTTACCAGCAGAGATCGGTAGTTTGGTGCGACTGAGGCGGTTACAGATCCGGTCGACTTCCCTCGTGCTGCCCGATTCCTTTTGCGGCCTGCCCGCCCTGGAGCACGTCAGCTTGCGGGGCTGCAATTTTTCCCACCTTCCCAACGACTTCGGGCAGCTCCGAAACCTCAAGAGCCTCACTCTCAAACTTCTGATGCAACTCGTCGAGATGCCCGCCTCCATCTGCCTCCTCTCAGCGCTTACTAGCCTGACCATCGAGCACTGCCACTAGCTAGCAAAACTGCCCGAAAACTTTCATCAGTTGACGAATCTTCGCACCATCCACCCAGGAGCACTACTTGCCCTTTCTTCCCTCCCAGAATCTTTCGGTCAGCTGCCCGCGCTGCATGACCTCACGATTCAAGACAATGCTCGCCTCAAGCACCTCCCGCCCTCGCTCTCTGCCAACAGCACGCTCGAGCGCCTCTCGCTGCACGAGTGCCTCTCGCTGCACGAGTGCCAAGCGCTCTCATCCCTGCCGGGCGCCATCGACCACATTCCCTCCCTGGAGCGCGTCCACCTCAGCCTTCTCGACGCCCTCAGCGGGCTTCCCGATTCCCTGGGATGCGCGTCGCAGCTGCACGAGCTGAAGGTCGTCCACTACCGCCGCCTTGTGGCTCTCCCGCGCTCGGTCTCTGCTCTCGCCTCCCTCACCCGCCTTACACTTGACGGCTGCGCTGTGTGGGCGCTGCCCGAGGATTTCGAGCAGCTGTCCGAATCTGGTGCGGCTGAAGCTGTCGTGCGAGCGACTGACCGCCTTGCCCAGGTCGTTCGGGCAGCTGGGGAAGCTGCAGGAGCTGAGGCTCCACGCCTGCTACGGTCTGCTCGAGCTGCCCACGTTTTTCGCAGATCTTTCCTCGCTTGAAACCCTAGCCATCCACGGGGGCACCTCTCTCGTTTCCCTGCCACCCAACTTCGAGCAGCTCCCGCAGCTGCTCCGCCCGTAGCTCTTTAACTGCGCCATGCCAAACCTGCCGGAGAGGTTCGAGCAGCTGCCGAAGCTGGAGGCTCTCATGGTTGGGAGCAGAGAGAGTTACACGAGGAATGGCGCGGATCAAGGGCAGCCGTCGTCGCCTGGTTGCCCCACGGCGCTCTCACTAGCCACGCTGAACGAGCCGTTGTTGGGGCGCTGCTTGCTGCGCAACTTGCCGGCGCCCTTGCCTTCCCTCACATGCCTGCAGCAGCTGGTGATGGACGGGTGTGATGCGCTCGACAGCTTGCCAGAGGGGTTGGGCCTCCTAGCTGGGCTGCAAGTGCTGCACGTGAAGAACTGCCAGCAGCTGCGCTGCTTCCCCTCCCTCCTGCCTGCCCCTCCCCCCACCTCCACCTCCGCACCTGTTGGGCGTTCCGCCTCTGCTGCCCTTACTGCCGCTGTGTTTGCCCCTGGTGCTTCGTCTTGTCCCTCTACGCGGCCTGCCGCTCGCCCCTCTCCGCTCCCAATGCTTCACACCCTGGAGATCGCCAAGTGCCCTCGTCTTACAAGCCTGCCGGACGGCCTGCATGAGCTTCCCAGGCTGGAGCGCATCGCTCTGGACGACTGCATCGCCCTGGGCTCTGCTCACGACTGGCTCTCACTCACCGCACCACTCGCCCTCCCCCCCTCCATCACCGCCATCTCCCTCTCAAGCGTCTTTCTCCACTCCCTCTACCTCCCACGCTCCCTCCTCTCCCTCACACGCCTCACCCATCTCAACCTGAACGAACTCCTCGGTCTGCAGGCGCTCTTTGCTGCTCCCAGCGGCGCCCCACCGGAGGACCTACTGAGCGACAGGGAGGCGGGCACGGACACCCATCCCATCTGTGGCTTCCGCATTGACCCTCACCCCGGTCCGCCCACCAGCCTAGCGCTCCTCTCGTCCCTGCAACACCTTGCCGTGGTGCAATCCGGGCTGCCCTCACTGCCCAGCAACCTGAGCGAGCGGAGAAGCCTCAAAGCACTCATTGTCGAGGACTGTCCCGTCATGACCTCCCTCCCTGCGTCCCTAGCCCACCTCTCCAGCCTTGGAAACTCGTGTTGAAAGCCCTCCCACAGCTGGCGCGTGTGCCCGAGAAACTCGGGCAGCTGAAGGCCCTCAAAGAGCTCACATTGGAGTCATGTGACGCGCTGGTGAGGCTTCCGCGTCCATGGGCCGCCTCTCCTCCCTCGTCCTCCTCTCCGTCACCGACTGCAAGAAGTTCTCCTCTCTCCCTGACTCCGTGGGCTCCCTCCCCCGCCTCGCCTCCCTCTAGCTCAACTACCTCCCTCGCCTGCGCCGCCTGCCAGAGTCCCTCTCCCTCCTCCCTGCCTTGGTGACATCGCAACTCTGCTGGTGTGCGCTGGGAAACAGCCGGCTGTTAGCTCGGCGATGTCGTGTCCCTGCAGTTTGCATGCGGCGTTTTTTTCAAATTGCCCTCTGTTTCCGAACTGCCAGTGATCTCCCACAGTTACCCTAATTTCGGTTCGAGAAGTCATGGAGGAGTTAGAGAGCAATCTGTGCAAAACTCAACCCGCTGGGTTGATGGACGCTGCTCGGTGAAATTCGGTGCGGTGGTGTATAAAACTCCGTGCAAAGCAAATATTCCGTTCCTTTACCATTTAATGTTTGTTCTACATTACATTACAGCAGCATTAGTGTACGTCACTAACATTGTTTAAAAATACATTCCATGGTGGTGTGTTTAAAATGGTTTGGAATGAAGGTCACGGTTTACAACCTGTTAAAATGAATTTATTTCGTGAAGTCTGCAAATGAACACGTCATTGTACACAATCTATTTTTAGGTTTAGGGAATCACATTGCTGTTGTTCTGTATTTCCAGCTAATCATGAAAACATGTAGATGCGGACGCCACTGATTACCAGAACGCTTACCGTTGGCGACTGTAAATAACGGTAACCAGGTCGCGAAGCCGTTCGGACGGCTCATTTCCAGCGCGCAAAAGTTCCAGCTGGACCAAAATGTTGACGGAGTCGCACACCCTGTTACGTGCGAAAACCGCACGTAACATTTGGCATTGTCGCCATGGCAGGTAGGGGCAAAGGGTTTTTGACGCGGTTCTGAATGTTTTTGCGCAGTTGTTAGCGGTGGCCGCATCATGTAGCCGTTCCCCTCCAACCCCTCCATTTCCCCCCTCACGCTTTTAGTCGAGTTCGACGGTTTTTTTTTTAGTAAACGACGCCTCGCCATGCATGCTTTGCCTCGCCCCGCATGTAAGGCGGGTGCGCGTCCAGCTTAGGGTAGATCTTTGGGCGCGACTAGATCTCATTTCTTAAATGTAGATTACTTTTAGGGTCGCCAAAGCAGATTCGCGACTTCGACGACACACCAGCGCATGCGCGTCGACGCGGTGTACAGTGTGTTTGCATCCCGCACCTTCAGGGACCAATGGCGTAGGTTATGGTTTCAATCTAGTAGCGTTTTCCAGGCTCTGGGTCCTGATTGGCTGACCATAGCCGTTTGACATTTGTTGTCTCTGTGTGCAGGTCCAGGAGACGACCTTCAAGACCCTGCATATAAATTAGTCTTGTGTATTTGTATGTGACCATAAGTAGGATCTCTAGATTTCTATCTCCCTAACACCATAGGTGCAGTACATCCTTGTATGCACTATCTTTATCATGGATTTTACATGTGTATGTGAATTTGTCTGCAACACTGGACAGGGAATGATCAATCGCAGAGCGATATGCAGAAAGCATTCAACTGCGTTAGAGAGTGCAAACCTACGCATAATAGAGGCGTTGAAGCATCAACGTGCGAATGGCGTGAACCGGCTGCTATGCGCACGAGTTGCTCCACGTACAACAGCAGGTCCGCCTTTGACCTCTAGTAGTGCCCCTTCTGCACAAACCATTGTCAACCCGCCCCCGTTTGAGTTTCCGACGTCGGTCGATAGCGACGGTGACGACGACGACGAAGGTTTCGGAGCGGATAGTGCTCCAACAGAGCTTCCTCCACAGAAACTCCCATTTGACACAGATTTGGCTTTGGCGAAAGCAATTCGAGGTTTCAATGGAGGCATAGGAATGTCCAACAGAGCTTCCTCCACAGAAACTCCCATTTGACACAGATTTGGCTTTGGCGAAAGCAATTCGAGGTTTCAATGGAGGCATAGGAATGGAGGCATAGGAATATCGTTGGTTTCATCAGTACCTTACTTTGAGCGTGTTGCACGAGGTCGACTACATGAAGCCGTCATACAAGAACAGCGCAGAATTGGCAAAGTACGAGAAGTCGTTACTGACGGAGGCTACGGGCACGGTGGAATGGAGAGCTGTGGAGGTGGAGTTGAGCAACGACATGAAAGTTACAGTGCACGTAACCTCCATAGTCGAGGCTTTGGTTGCGATGTATTCGGACAGCGCGAATAGAGACGGCTTTGTGGTTAAACCGACAGCAGTCTACACGTCCGACAAGAAACAACGGATATACGCGGGGCCCGAGACGGGAGATGGATGGATTAAGATGCAAGAAGAATGCCCGAGGGGTTGTGTAATTGCAGCGTGCATCCTGTACAGCGACGGGACAGACTTGAGCAACGATGGGCGTGTTACGGGACATCCGGTCTATTTCACCCTCGGAAACGTCACGCTCAAGAATCGTTGGCAACCACACGGGCATCGGATGGTTGCTATGCTTCCGCCGCTTCCGAACGTGGACTCGCAGACGGACGAGGGGAAGGTGCTTCATCGGGAGGTATTCCAACTGGCTTTGGATGTGGTTCTCAAAGAACTCAAGGAGGCATCTTACGCGTGAGTATCTATTGAGTGTGCGGGTGAGTGCTTTTCATTCTATTGGGTGTGGGTGTATGCGTTGCAAGTATGTTTTATCGCTACGATGAGATTTTGCATGCTCACCTCAGGTGCACATCCACATCCTTTTCCCTTATGATTGTATCTCTCCCATGTTCATCACTCTCTTTGACTTGCACAGTGGCATTGTAACGGAAGACCCTTTTGGGAAGACGCAAGTGGTGTTTCCTGTTGTCTACGCATATGTGGCCGATCATCCGGAAGCGTGCAAGCTGGCGGGGACGTTTGCAAGTCACAAAGCGATGTTCCCGTGCCACAGGTGTCTTGTAGAACGTGAAGACATAAGCAACATGGAGGCGGTGGTCGAATATCGCACGGAAGTTGACCAGAGCAATAAAGTTGAAGCATTGTTGGCGTTGCCGAGTGGGCCCGAGTGCAACAAGGCATCAAAAGCAATCAGCACTCATCTCATCAAAGTACGTATGCTTTGCGAGTGCGTCTATACGTTTTTGTGTGTGTTTTTGTGGGTGTGCGCACATACGTTCAACCCTCCTTATTTCATGCGTCGTTGTGTAACTCTGTCTTGGTTGTGTGGGTTATATTTCATGAGCGCTAACTATATTTCATTCACTCGCCCCTGGGCAGGTAGCCTTGTGGGGCTTCAGAGGCGGACGTACCCTCGTCGGCAATCCATATCGAGCCTTACTTGTCGAGGTGATGCACGCGATGGACCTTGGGGTCTTCTTGCATATCGTTTACTGAATTTGAGCGTATTACGCACGAGATTGCGACTTCCTACGTTCCCTTGACAGCGAGTTGCAGCGCATTGCGACCGACACTCGAATCTCGGGTTACCGTATTCCATCTTCCAAGAAGGGTGGTTACTTTGCGGGTGCTGCGCGGTTTCAACGTTTGAGCATCGCGCGGTGATGCAAGTGATCACCATCGTGCTTGCAAATTGCGGCGTGCCGAACTCGATTGTTGGTGCGGTAGCGGCATTCGTGGATTGCTACATGCTTGCATCCCGGCGTTGGTATCATACCTCGAAGACGCTACAAGAGCATGATGAGGCCATAAAGAGGTAAGCTTCTTTTCAATTGTTTAAGGTTGTTTGTGGGTTCATGTTTTCTTTGTTCTTTTTTCATTTTCTATTTATTCCATGTCCAAACCCTTGTCTTTCATGCTTGTTTCTTGCGTTCCATGCTTGCCAATGTGTCGCGCCGTTTTTTTTTTTTTTAACTTATTTAATTCGCGCCCATTGTATTGTGTCTCTTAAATGTTCTTCATACGTGCCATGCACTCCTACAGGTTGATTCCGCTATTGAAGGATGTCTTCGCCGGCCTTCAAAAGTCGGTGTTTGACATCACCAAAGTGCATTCATTGGCACACGTAGTGGAGGACATCATTCGGTCGGGGGTGCCGATGCATTACAACGCTAACATGTACGAGGACCTTCGTCAACCACTTGTGAAGCGAGTGTACCGTGCAAGCAACAAGCGGGATCCTATCCCTCAAATTGTGAAGCACGATATGCGAATGCACATGCTACGCGTGCTTCAAGCATCGGAGGCACCAAGCGAGGATGGACCAAAGCGGATGGTTGCACTACAGGAGGTACGTGCTTGTGTGTGTGTGTATGTGTGTGTGTGTGTATGTGTGTGTGTGTGTGTGTGTGTGTGTGTGTGTGTATGTGTGTGTGTATATGTGTGTGTGTGTGTGTGTGTATGTGTGTGTGTGTGTGTGTGTGTGTGTGTGTGTGTGTGTTGTGTGTGTGTGTGTGTGTGTGTGTGTGTGTGTGTGTGTGTGTGTGTGTGTGTGTGTGTGTGTGTGTGTGTGTGTGTGTGTGTGTGTGTGTGTGTGTGTGTGTGTGTGTGTGTGTGTGTGTGTGTGTGTGTGTGTGTGTGTGTGTGTGTGTGTGTGTGTGTATGTGTGTGTGTATATGTGTGTGTGTGTGTGTGTGTGCGTGTGTGTGTGTGTGTGCGTGTGTGTGTGTACGCGCGCGCGCGTGTGTGTGTGTACGCGCGCGCGCGCGTGTGTGTGTACATGCGTACGTGAGTGTGTGTGTGCGTGCGTGAGCATGTGTGCGTGCGAGAGCATGTGTGCGAAACTTGCATTATGTCTTGTGGGGGTGGTGTGTGGGTGTGGATGTGTCGCATGCATACTTTTGTTTGGTCGATGGAGCTTCAAGTCATGTGGAAATGCGTTTGGGAGTGTGTGTTTGACATTGCATTAATAACAAGCATTTTTTTTTACACCCATTTCTAAATGACCATGCATTTCGCAGG